CTAGGAAACTGAAATTACCAGAAATTCACTTGAATGTAAAGCAAATTAGTACTACCTGTAAACTGTAATAACCTGTGTAATAAGAAACAAAGCAGTCTGTCAAAGTTTCCCTCATTCCATTGCCCTTTTCCCAATGCCCAGTCAGTTTCCTTTTGCTTTTCTTTTTTTTCTTTTTCTCTCCTGCCACTTGCCTTTTTCTTCCTTCTGTCAGGTTTACATGGGAATGTGGAGAGTTAGTATATGATTTCTGTATCTGAAGTGCTTATGATGCCTGCTGTGAATGAATTTGCCTGGGACTTCATGATCCAAGTTACTTTCATGTTCAGCCAAATACTCATTAGTTAGAGTTTATGTGGAGGAGAATGACAGCACTGTCCGCTTTCCAGTAGCGATTTCCAGAATACTCTTCAGCTGGAAAAGTTGACTGGATTGTACCTGCCCATCGGACCTTTACAGCCCCTTGCTTCCTGAAGGCTTGAGAACAACTGCTTTTACTATCCTACTTCAGCTGGTTTTTATCTGTGTGTATATCAAAAAGTGACTTGTCATGTGGGTCAAGAAATGGGACCACCTTAACCTTTGGTTTTAAAAACTGAACAGCTCTCTCAAACTCTTTTCAACTGCATCATCAATGAATAACTGAAAATTATGCGTGCGCATACGCACATGCTACCGCACGCATGCACGTTATTATAGGAGCAGCAAATTATATTTCAGTCCTAAAATTGAGTTGCCACAATAGACTGGAATTGCCATACATGGAGTATTTAAGTCATAAGAAAAAAAATTATCTAAATCTTTCAGGAAACAGGAAAAATGTAATCCCTATCTGTCTGAGTTCAATGTTCATGATGGGTATGTATTTTTTTGTGTACCTTGTTTATTGCACTTAATCTCTAGACAGTATTTAGTTATGGAATTTCATAGAATCTTAGAAAAGTGGGCTGAAAGGGACCTCAGAAGAACCCTCTGCTCAAGGCAGGATCTTCACAATTTAAGTCACCCTGTAGATTGTTTCTGAATAACAATGCGTAAACCTATAACAGAAAAATATGAAATGTGGTGCTGTGGGGTCCTTTGATTTTTTTTTTTTTTTTCTTTTTTGTTTAACAACCATAGTCTGATTTAATATAACAATAACAGAAAATCATGTGGGGAAGCACAATAATAGTATATCAGTCTCATTCAGCTCCTTCAATCCATATCTGTTTTAGAAGAGCTGCACGTAAAGTAAAGCCAATCATTTCTAGTCAGGGTTGCAACTGGATTTCCATTTAAAAGGAAGCTGCCAAAATAGGTTTATAAAATCCATGTGTTATGGCTGTCTCAGTATTAGGTTAGATCCAATCTGGAAGTTGAACTTTATTACAAAATGCAAGGTGAACTGGACACAGGATTATTTGATTATGATATTCTAAAAGAATGTGCTGAACCACTTTTGTAACTGCACTGGTACTTGTTTGCTGCTTTGTACCGAAAAAAGGTGACGAAAGAGAGCTAGGTTTACTGGAATTCCCTCAGCTCTTCCTCGGGTAGAAAATAGTAAAGCTTATGAAAGTGAAAGTAACAAGATCTGGTCCAGTTGCCTTATTGCTGTCTGTATTTTGCTGATACTCTACAATGTCTAAGGATTACTTAATTGTAAATTCTTGGTA